AAACAGACATTGGTTATTCACTTAGTTTTCAAGCTTTTCTGGTATGCTTCTAATGAAGTTTAATATTTCTTACTTGAAAACTCGTAACAGCATTTTGTAATTATTACATTGTAGGATGGGGTTAATTAATGCCAGGCAGGAGAAATTTCCGGAGGCTAATACCAAATTATATCAGAGATTCTCCTCTTGTTCTACATCATTTGAGATTAGAATTATCATTTATATGATCTTAAGAGACCCGGTTTAATATCACCCAGGGTTAAAAAACAAAAGAAATAAATTATTCCCTTGTATAACAAAAATCACAGAACATGATATTTTGTCTTTAGTTTTGAGTGTTTTATTAGACATATATTATGGATCCGAGTGTTTGTTTTTTTTCTCTTCTTTCTTCTGTAAGATGTACCTTTCAAATGTGTTTGATCTGGAATTTGTTTTGTTTTAGATTTGAATGTATTTTGTCTTAATACACTGAGACTGAGTTCATTTTAAAGTTAAACCGATTGGTTCGGTTTCGCTTTATCCAAATCAAATGATTATGAGAGGTGGATATGGGGATGGTTTATAGGTAAATAAATATACAATATATCCCCTATGAAATGTCTTAATGGCTCAGTGCCAGAGTGAGTCGGTTTACTACTGCCAGAGTATAATTTTTTAGTGCCGATAACTTTATAAAGCGGCAGCGCATATATTAGTCATTTTGCAATACTAAAATATGACGTCGTAGGACAATGGTGAATTGACGATACCGGATAGAATCAGAATCTTTTCTTCTTTGGAAATAAAACAATACTACTAGTTTCTCAGAATCAAGGGCCCCGATTGAATTGAAAAGTTGTCATCTTTATAGTTTTCTCTCAGAAGCCGTTGTGTTCTTACCGCCGCCACCATCACCATCATGTGTGGGATTCTTGCTGTTCTTGGTTGCGTCGATAACTCCCAAGCAAAACGTTCCCGTATCATCGAACTGTCTCGCAGGTTTGACTCTCAAAGTCTTCTTCTTTCGATCTCCTTGTGAATGTTGTTCTTCTTGGGTTTTGTTTTGGAAGATGAAAAGTTTCCATCTTTGTGGGTAAATTGAGTTGGGTTTAGTCAAATGGATCGTTTTTTTTTTTACTCGATTTCTATCTGTGGGTGAGATGAAATTTCGTGTATTGGTCAGATTTGATTGAATGGTTAATCTGATTTTTTGTATACATGTATGTTTGTGTAGATNGAGGCATAGATCTGGTCCTGATTGGAGTGGTCTTCATTGTTATGAGGATTGTTATTTGGCTCATGAGCGTTTGGCCATCGTTGACCCCACTTCCGGAGACCAACCGCTTTACAATGAAGACAAGGCCATCGTTGTCACGGTACATTGACTTGTGTGTGTCCTAATCTCAGTTTCTTGGAGGAATTGGGGATTAGTGAATGCGATTTCCCCAATTTTATGAGAGATATATACAATCACAAGTCCTAATCTTTTTTTTGTTTGGACTCTTTGCATGCTTTCAGGTCAATGGAGAGATATACAATCACAAGGCTTTGCTTGAAAATCTCAAGTCTCACCAGTTCCGTACTGGGAGTGGTTGTGAAGTGATTGCTCATCTTGTAAGTATCCGTTAATTTGGGAGGAGTTTTGACTTCAGAACATAGAGAGGAATTTGTCGACATGTTGGATGGATTGATACTGAGTTTGTGGTTGGTAAAGGTGGTGATGTGAAGCTTGCTGTTTCTTTGAAGCTAGGCCGTGTTAATTTGACACAGATGTTTTTGAAAAACGGTATTGGATTGACAAAGATGAGAGATTATATCCGTCATGCGATTGATGAGTCTAGGTTAGCAGATAAATTGAAGGAATCTGATGGTTTTGAAAAGTGGTTGTGGGATCCTCAGGAACTATACGAGCTATCAAGAATGCGGTTTTCAGTGGCTATGGAAGTGATTTGTGTCTGTTCAATCTGGAGGGGTATAAGAGGGATTGGAGATTTGGTAAGAGAGAACTGAGCAGCATTGTGGAGAAGCTTTGTAGTGAAGGAGACGAAGAGCAGATTCGGAGAGAAGGTTTTTTTCAAGAGAAGGTCAGAGTTCATTGTTGCTGGGTCGGTATTGTTAGAGGAAATATTTAAGGCTCTCGGTATCGAGGAAATGGAGGTCTCAGAGTATGCATTGGCAGAGGGTGTGATTGCTGATTCTCTGGCAAAAGCTTTTGATGGATTATATGATTTGAATGCCAATGCAAGGTGGCGATCGGTTATGAGCCTTGCCACACGATTCAATGGAAAAAAAACGAATGAATCATGCGATACACTGTGCCAACATTGCAAAGGTACACTCTAACCGCACCTTTTACGAGAAATGTATCTGTGAAATTTTGAGTGGCAGATAATTCGTAATAAAGATTATAGCTTTTTTTCATATCTTTTGAATAAGGGATTCTGCTCTGGCCTCTATCTGCTTAAAATTGCATTTCAAGCTCTGCACAATTGGAAATGGTCATTTTCTTAGTTCAATAGGTTTGATAGGACAGTGATTTTCCAGGAGATCTTTGTAGGTTTGAGCAAGTGCAATGATTTTAGTGTCATGTTAGACGATAAGGATCTGGAGCTTTATCCTTTTCAAGGTCTCTCAAATGTCAATTTCCCATTTATACAGTTTTTATAGTTGCTCAAGGTATATGTTGTAACTTGTAACTAGCTCTTTTCTTTTGGGAAAATTATATACCGGCAGAAAGAACAGTTCAGTGATGGAGTTGGATTGATGGTCTGAAAGATCATGCAAACAAACATGTAAGATGTCTCTCTTCATTCATAGAAAGAATCTGGAATGTAATGTATGAACTAAGTTTTCAAATATCAGTGTTTTCTTTATCAATTGTCTCTTTCTTTTTTGCATTCAAAATCCAAAACGGCGGGGACGTAATCTCTACTGGTCCAGCTCTTGGAGGTTCAAACTCCCGGATGGTTTTGGTGGCTGAGGTTGTCAGGAGTCATCACGTAGATGGAATTGGGCTCCAGACCAGGGTACGAGCTTGCCTCGACGCAGAAAGGCTGGCTTTTCGAAAGGAAGATGCAGAGATCTCCAATGTCCTCTGTGTAACACATTAACTTTCCCTCTGTCGTCTCTACCTCGCTAAACACCATGAATATCGGGTCTCTCTGCTCCCAAGGAGATAACATAAAGAGTACCTACAACACACACGAGCCAAATGTTACCAAATTTATGTCTAACCTACAGTGTTAATGTATGTATATTACCATTTGACCAGGAATGATTCGCCTGAGGATGACTCAACCCAGTGTTCAGCCCTGGAACATGAATCCAAGAACTGGAGCTGACGGACGTAACTCAGGACTGTCTCCTTCCTTGAAATTGAGGTCCAATGAGCACAACCACTTGCTTCCAGGAGTAGGGAAGTAGAAGCATTGGTCTCTTTTTGAGTAAACCAGATTCGAATTGTCCAAGCAAGTGAAAGGGAGCTCGAGATTAGTCCAAAGCAAGTCATGATTAGGTCTACAGAGACTAATCTGTCTACCTAAGAACCTAACAGCAACCACACAGTCTTCTTCTTGTTCTTCCTCAAGAAGAGAAGTAGAGGACATTGCAACGTCCCTCACGGCTTGAGTTTGGTTACCAGGAAGAGTAGTAAATCGAGGCAAAGGAATCATCTTTGATGGATTCAGATAATTGTTCATCAACAAAGAACCATCGTTGTGCTTCAATGAACAAATATCCCCCATCGACCGACAAGACTTGAACCCATGAGCTCTTTTGGAACTATTAAGTCGGGGACAGTGATTATCTCTTCTTTTGCCGGATCGAAGAGAAGATTGGTTCCATTGGTACTTCCAACCGGCAATGTTGGATTAATCCTAGCTCCAAGCACCAGATACGGACCGGTTAGTGTCCTCTGTATCAACACAGAACACAAATCAGAAACAAAAAAATCAAACTCGACTAAAAGAAAACCCTAGAAATCAAAGAGAAAAGAGATAGCTTTTTCATACAAGGACATCATTTCTCTGGGTAGAGAATCTTGAAAATCCGGTTAGAAGTCGAGCCATTCTTGTGAAGTTTCGAGCTTTTCTACTCACAGAGAAAGAAGAAGCTTTTCGTTTTTTATCGACACAAAGCTTTTGGAGAAGAAATTGTTATTTAACTTCTTTTTTTTTCTCTAAGGGAGATTAGCCTTTTTTTTTTTTTTTTAATAGTTAAAATAATCTTATTATTTTTTATTGCTAAAATAATCTATACTAGATTTTTTTTCTTTCATAATACCAAAATTGTCTTTTGCAAACTCTATCGAAGTATTGGCAGATTCTGCCGAAACATTGACAGATTCTGCCGAATGCATTAGCAGACTCTGCCGAGGTATTGGCAGATTCTGCCAATATATAAAAATACGTAGATTCTGCCAAAACATTGGCAGATTCTGCCGAAACATTGACATATTCCGTCAAGGTATTGGCAGACTCTACCGAAGTATTGGCAGACTCTGCCGAATCATTGGCAGATTCTGCGGAAACATTGGTAGACTATACCGATATATTGGCAGACTCTGCCAATATCTAAAAATACGCAGAGTCTACCAATGTTCGGCAGAATTTGCCAAGAACAATTTTGGTATTTTAAAAGAAAAAAAATCCAGAATAGGTTATTTCGGTAATTAAAAAAATGGTTAGATTATCTAGCTATTTTTTTAAAAAAGTAGGTTATTCTAAGTAAATTTTTCATATATGTATTGCCTCAACATCAACAGAACATTGAGAGAATAAAGAACTAGAGATCAAATTCAATGAAAACTGCATATCATACCATATCTAAATCAGAAAACATTATGGTTCTTCCAAAATATGGTTCTTTGTATTTTGTTTGTAACAACGAATTGAGAATCACAATCGCAAAAGATGTTTTGAATCCCATTCTAGCTTACTCAAATGTTTAAAGATTTGGAACACTTACGTTTCAAATCAATTGAAACGCAAACTCCGTGAGATCAAGAACTAAATTCTATCGTTTTCATATTAATTACCAAGAATTTAATTGAGAAATTATATAGCTGAGCAAGTTAGAAAGTTGTAAAAAGTTTGGCTTAACTGCTTCTAGGATAATGTTCGTCAGCTTCTCGAACAAGTATGAACATTCTTTTGTTATGATTAACGTAGAAAAACAGAGTGAAATAAAGTAAGAAAAAATGAAGGTATAAGTGTATGTGTACCAAGTACAAAAATCCATCTCTTATTTAATAAAAAGTCTTTG